GTTCTCCCTCCTTTTCTATTTCCTGAAGTAGCTTGAAAAGTATTGGTATTAGTTCTTCTTTAAAGGTTTTGTAAAATTCTGCTGTATACCCATCTGGACCTGGGCTTTTCTTAGTTGGTAGTCTTTTGATGGTTTCTTCTATTTCCTCAATTGATATTGGTCTGTTTAGGTTTTCTATATCCTCCTGAAGAGTCTTGGTATTTATTTTCAACTTGATCAATCTCCTACTATCTTGTATTTGTTCCCTTTCCCTCACTCTACTTGTGCCTTCCTTTGATTAACTAATGTTTTTGTTTTACTTAAATTTTATCTCTATGTTGGTTTATATCATTTGTAAGAACTTAAAATTTTCAGTGACTTCTCCAGGGTTTAAAATGCATGTCTTTCACTAGTCACTCTCTACCTTTAAGTAGTATCATACTACTTGAGGTAGAATGTAAGAACTAAATGGTAAGCTTGTATTTCTTCTCTCTTATTTTTTTATGTAATTGCTGTCCTACCTTTTAATTCTGCCTATATTATGGACCCTAGAATTTATTATTTTTTGAACATTTGATTATCTTTTAAAAGGATTGAAGAAATTGGAAAGCATGTCTTTCATATGTACCTACCTACTTATTATTTCCAGTGTTCTTAACTCTTTTGAGGAAACTGGTATCATTTCTTTGTTCTTATGCCTGAACAACTTCCTGTAAAATTTCTTTCTTTCTTCCTTTTTGTACCAGGGATTGAACCCAGGGGCACTAAATCACTGAGTCACATCACCAGCCGTTTTATGTTTTTTATTTAGTGTCAGGGTCTCACTGAGTTGCTTAGGGCTTGCCAAGTTGCTGAGGCTGCCTTTGAACTCATGATCCTGCTGCCTCAGCTTCCTGAGCATCTGGGATTATAGGCATGAACCAACGTGCTTGGCCTGTACAATTTCTTTTATAGAAGATGTGATCCAATGAATTGTTTCTGTTTTAGCTTATCTGAAAAATATTTCCACTTAACTTATCAGTTATATTTTAAATTTATGAAATAAATTTTGATTGATAAGGAATTCTAGGTTGAAAATTTATTCTTTCAATGCTTTAAGAAGATTACTGAATTTCCTTGTCTTGGGGGTAGTTCCTGATGAGAAGTCTATGGTAATTCTTCATTCCTTTGTATTTAACTATAAAATACTAATCCATTTATTCGTTAGTATTTTTTGTTGGCATTTGTTGAGTTATTTGTTGATATTTGTTGAGGTTTATAATTTTTGTCAAATCTATGACATCTATTGGTTATCATTTCTTCAAAAGCTTTATTCTGTTCTCTTCTTCTTTTTTTAGTATTTAAAAAAATTTGTTCTAATTAGTTATACATGACAGTAGAATGCATTTTGACACATCATACATAAGTGGAGTGTAACTTCTCATTCTTCTGGTTGTACGTGGTGTAGAATCACACCAGCCCTGTAGTCATATATGCATATAGGGTTATAAAGTCTGATTCAGGAGGTTAGGGAAGAATAGAAGTTCTTTCTTATTTTTATGGTGCTTTAATTATAAATGTTAGACTACTTGATGTCATCCTTGGGTCATTATGTCTCTATTTGTTTTTCAATGTTTTTACCACTGGTTCATTTGGGATAGCTTGTATTTTGCTTTCAGGTTCATTGATATTTTCTTTTGCATTGTCTAATCTGCTCTTCATCCTACCCAAGGTATTTTCTTTTACTTTAAAGTTATATCTGAGTCTGTTTTACATCTTCACCATATTCATGTTTTCTTCTACCTACTTGATCACACAGAGAATATTTATAATAGCTGCTTCAATGCATTTGTCTACTAATTTATCATTTTGTTATTTCTGCATCTATGGACTCATTTTGTTTGTGTGTGTGTGTGTGTGTGTGTGTTGCTGGGAATTGAACCCAGGGCCTTGTGCATGTAAGGCAAGCACTCTACCAACTGAGCTATATCCCCAGCCCTATGGACTAGTTTTCTTGTTTATGTGTCATTTATTTCCCTGCTTGGTAATTTTGATCAGACATCAGGCATTTTTAAATTTTGTATTTTCCAGAATTAAGTTTTGTTTTATTATTCCAACGGTGCTGGACTTTGTTCAAGCACATATTTATTTGGTTTTGTTTTTTTGCCTTCAGGGAATGCTTTCAAGATTTGTTAAGAAAAACCCAGATCAACCTTTGAGGCACATACCCCAGGGAGTTGTTTGCACACTACAATAGGGCTTGATCAGTGTCCCTTTTTACTTAGTGCTTTATTCATTTTGATTTTTCCAAATTTCAGTATAATGCATACATTTATGGAAACTTCCACAAATATTCATTGGCTGAATAAACAGAGAAATTGATTTGCTTAATTAAAGGAAAAGAAACTGCCTTTGAATTAAAAACATTTCTAAGTTTATTTGTCAACAGGTAAATAAAATTACTAGTAGATTACTGATTGAGTTAAAACATTTTTCTAACAAATTTGCTGGATTTAATTTTGGCTAGATTTGAAAATAATCAATTCAAAGTTGTTCACAAATAGGTGTTTTAAAGTGAATACCTAGCTGGATGTGATGGAACATGCCCGTAGTCACACCTACTGGGGCGGTTGACATAGGAGAATGTTTAAGTCTAAGGCCATCCTCAGTAACATAGTGAGACCCTGTCTCTAAATAAAATCAAAAGGATTGGGAATATAGCTCAGTATAAAAACACCCTTGGTTCAACCCCCAGTACCTCAAAAAAAAAAATTAAAAATGTGAGTATCTAGATACTAAAGTAGCTACAGGAGAGCAGAAAGTATATGAGTCTCCAAAAAAGAAAATCTGATTTAAATATAGATTCCCATACTTACTGGTTGAGTTGTCTTGAGCAAGTTACTAATGACTTTAAGAGGTAAGCAAACTTTGGCCCAAGGGCCTGCCATCTGTTTCATGAGTATGGTTTTATTGGAAGACAACCACACTCATTCTTTAAATATTGCCTTTAGCTGCATTCATGTGAAAGCAGCAGAATTGAGCAGTGGTGACAGAGTCTGAATGTCCCACAAGGTCTAAGATATTTACCTTCTTATCTTTTATTAAAAAAAAAAGTCTCCTGGCCTAGCAGTAGAGCCTCATCTTCTTTACCTGTCTTTACGTGTAAAAAAGGGACAATAGCTTCCATTTCACAGGACTGTGGGATGGGGGGGGGGGTGGTGATGGGAGGGTGGGGGGGAGGGGGGTGGCGAGGGGTTGCGGGGGGGAGGGTGGAATGGGAGGGGAACCTTACTATGTGCTGTGCTTAGCATATGGCCCTCCTGCAAAGACTTGTTAAATTTGAATATGAACATTCTATCCTCTTCTGAATACAAAGCTATTTTCTTTCTAACCTTACATTTATGAGGTGAAACAATTATATATCAAAAAGTAGAATTTCATATAAGAGCATTGTTTTTTGCTTAGTCATTATGACTTTGTCAAACAAAATAAACTTTACATATCTTTGTCATAAATAATTTAATAATCATATTAGTCTTTGAACGCTGTGATTAATGCAGTGGGAACTTCACAGACTGAATACAAACAGAAAGGAGGCAGTGGAATATTTCTGAGTCTACAAGTGGTAAAGATTATTATTTTCTTTGTGCAATAGCAGACATAAAAAGTTGTAATACAAATCAAATTTCTTGGTGTTTCTTTCTTGAATGACACTGTTAAAAATATGGGATTATTTGTTTTTTTCTGCACTTTATATTTAGAAATACATTGCATGAAAAATGAAAAGGTAATTCAGAAACAAAAATAACTAGGAATATTTTACATAAAAGACTGTTCCATCAGCTGTGTATTGTAATTCTCAGCTACTGATATGGATTGTGGCAAGAAGGTAAATACCAAAAGGCAAGTCAAAAGAAGGTATTTACTGCTTATAGAATTACTTTTATTAAATTGTGCTCTGTAGGGATTATCACTATATACTGAGGTAAAATACAAGAACGTTATTGGACATACCCTATCTGGTCTTAGTGCAATAATCATTGTACTTGTCCTGACAAATTGCTGGCTCTATGTTATAGACACAGTGCTTTGAGTAATTGATTAGGTTTCCATGTTTTAGTGAATCTGATAGAATACTTAGAGCCAGACTGTGACTCAGCTATAGCAATCATATCGATCTTGCAAAGTATATTTTAGCATCATTCCTATTTGGATTTTATGTTCTTTGTCTTTTCTTTTACTCTGCTTCTATTTATGCTATTTAAATGTGTTTTATGTAATTTTGCAAGCCACATTCAATCCTTTCTAAAAAAAACATTGAATATAAATAGGTAGGTAATAGGAAGTAAGTTGCCAAGGTAATTTTCAGAGAAGTGCTGATATTCTTTTTGGTTTTCTCCTTCAAATAACTGATAAATAACATAATAACACCACTCCTAGCTTACCACTTCATAAATCTCACAATTTAAAGCAAAACTCTTAGGCATATCAGTTGCTTAGAACTCTGTATCACATACACATACAGAAAAAAAGGAAATAATTTTTATTGCAACTGATTCACTAATTTTAAACTAAGCCAATGATTTAAAGACAAATTCTCTCCTAAATATCAAAAGAAGTTATACTTATGGTCTATATTTGGGCCATCAGTCACATCAATTTTATTTGCTTGGTAAAGATGTTTGGAAGTAGTTACATTTAAAAAAGCTATGTAAGTAGAAGTACAAAAAAGACATTTTTTATGTATGCAAAATCCCAAATTATTCATTAAACTACCTAGGCATTTGTTAAGCACTGACCATGTGTTAAGTACTATTCTCAGCAGTGTGGATGTAGCAATGAATAAAATAGGACACTTTCCTTGTGGTATCTTTGAGAAGACCTGTATTATAGTAGATGGTTCTCCAAGAGTTGAGAAACACATGGAATAAATTTATAGTAACTTTGATAGGGGACAGACAGATGTAAGTGGTGGGAACATTAAGGGAATGATTCTATAAAATAGAACCACTGTGCTGACTTCCACCTGCTTTCCTTTCCAGGAAGCAATTTACCTCCGACACTAGCTGACTTAAATGGACAGGATATGTCACGTTCCCCAGCAAATACCTGTTACCTGCAGGAGAAATGCAGCCTTCAAAGAATTCCCATGAAAGGAGAGAATTTTGTGACCCTCTCACAGACTAGAACCTGAAACTTAGGGAAGTAAAGGTAATTATCCCTAAACATGATGTGTGTAAAAACAAATTCCCCAATTAGAACTCATCAGTATGAGCCAGAATGACCTAGAGTTGTCATGCACAGTGGGGACTTGAATGAAAGTCTGCTACCATCTGCCGTCATCAAAAGTCAAGAAGTGGACCTGTGTGGACTCTCTGGAAACTTCCCTGGGATTCCCAATTAAACTGGAGGGCAGGAGAGACATGGTGTCCCTTTTCTGTCTGAGAATATCTACTCTCTCCTTTAAGAATGTCCCCTTTCCCCCTTTCCCATCCCTTCTAATAAATTTATGATGGTTCCTCTGAGTGACATGTCTGAATCTTTCTGACTTGAGGGCGTGAATTGGGGTTGGAAAGATCTACAACATGCACTTTGTCCTACTCAGTGACGGGCAACAACTGATTTAAGAACTAGATTAAAATGATATATCAATTACATATGCAAAGTATGACTTAATAAGAGAAATTTTCATTTGTAAGGCCATCTCCCTCTATTGGGAAAAAAAAATGGAAAGATATTGCTGTAGTTTGAATCTGGAATATCCCTACCCAAAGTTCATGGGTTAAGCAATGCAGCCATATTTAGAGTTGAAATGATTGGATTATGAGAGCTGTAACCTCAGTAGTGGATTGATCATTTGATGGATTAATAATTTGAATTAACTACTGGGTGGTAACCAAAGCAGATTTGGGTTTGACTGGAGGAAGTAGATCACTGGGAGCTTGTCTTTGGGACTATATCTTGTCCCTGGCACCTAGAGTGTTCTGCCTCTCTCTCTGCTTTCTGACTGCCACAAACTGAGCGGCTTTCCTCCACTGTAGCTTTCTGCCATGACGTCATGCCTCATCTCAGGCCTAGAACAATGGAGTAGACTGACCATAGATTCATGACAATAGTTGTGAAACACTGGACAAGTTACTTGGCTTATCTGTGGCTCAGTTTCCTCATCTATAGAATGGAGTTTACAGAAGCTCCTGCCTTGTATCTTTGTCATGACAATTAAATATGAAAAGCTATTAGAACAGGACATGACCCAATGTAAGTCATTGATATTTTATAACATTTTTCTGTTCCTCAGTTGAAATTTCTAAATTAGCATCCTGTTGCTTTATCCTCTTTTCTCTTAATTCCTTGACTCCTATCATTAGACTATCTGGATTTAAGTCCACCCAAGGCACTATTCTATACCTAGGGCTCTGCTGCTGTGGATTCTTCTGCATAAAAGCTTTTCCTCTTTTCTGCTCACTATGCATAGTTCACATGATTATGAAAAATGAACCTCTTCATCAAATATTTCCTAAGCTTGTCTTTGAAAAAGCAAGTTCTAAATGGTTCCTATGCCAGGAGGAGAGTAAGGTAATAATTTTTCTTTTTTAGTGGCAGTTAGAAATTAAAGCTTTCTGGGGAAGAATTTAGTAGTGAATTTCAATGCCTGTTTCTTTATTTTGTCTTTTAAGCAGATAGTTCTTCAGTGATAGTGAGTGACTCTTTTGAAGGTAAGGCAGTAATTTCTTTGATGTTCATGATGGTTGTGAATAATACTCCATTCCCAATTTATGACATATTCAAGGAAATCATGTCTTTATTTAATTGCTTTTTTTCTGATTTCTCAAAGGTCATAATAGTTGAACTTTGAGTTCACAATAATGTCATTAGAATCACAATGCAAATAATGTGAAATTATGCCACTGATTTCTTGATCTGAGTCTTCTGCAGTTTCAAAATGACAAAACTTAACATTTTACCTACTGAGTAGATTTCAGTTGCCAGAAAAATACTTTGCATTTTTCCTCACTGAAGGTCATGGGATTTTTAAATATTCTCCATTGGAGATCAAGCAAGGTTATAATTCACAGAACTTTCTGGGGTTTTTTTTTTTTTTTGTTGTTGTTGTTGTTAGCAGAAAAATTCCCAGCTATAAAAAAATAAATAGAAAAACAACTCCTCTAAGAAGTTAGAATCTTGTATATTTCAGCAAAAAAAGAGATGTAAGCTGTTTTTGTGGAATGGTTATAGAACTTTATGTAGTAAAATGCTTAGCTCAATTTTTTTTTTTTCTGGGTTGGTTTTATCCACCAAATAACTGGTTTGAATTCATCAAATCTGTCTTTTTTTTTTTTTTTTTCAGAATGAAACCAACAAATCTTGAATACATTCCACAGGATGCTCGCTGAACCTGTAGGATGTTCATTCATTCACTCATTCATTCAGTGCTTATTTATTGAGCACATACTGTGTCAGGGATAGACATTGGAGCAGAGAGGCACAAATCAAAACAAAAAGAATCACTGCTCATAGTGTGTACATTTTAATAAGAGAGATGAGCAATATGTTAATAAATAAATAATTCCATAAAATATCATGTAATGACTAGTACTGTGAAGGAAACCAAGATAGTGTAAGAGGTCAGAAAGTAGAAAAGGAGCTTATTTTAGGAAGAATTATTTATTTAAGAAGGCAGAAACTTTCTGACAAAGTGACAGCTGAGCATAGATCAGAATAAGGTAAGGGAGAAACACAAAAATATCTAGAGAAGAGTGCTCCAGGCCAGAGAATAGCTGTGGAAAGTATCTTGGAACCTTCTAGAAGCAGCAGGGCGGTAGAGCACTCAGGAAGACACATAGGAGGCAGACATGGATAAAGGTGAGACCAGACAATGAAAGACTTTGTAGACCTTGCTCAGGGCTATGATTTTCATGCCGAGTTGATATGAACTGTTGGAACCATTTTTCTGCTGAGGTCGGGGTGGGGACTTTATTTCACGCTTAAAAAAAAAAAACCCCGTGGTCACTAAATGGAAAATATGTGGTAGGTTGGAGGTGAGAAGTAGAATATTAATTCTATTTTTTTCTTGAGGCTTCTGGAATCAAACAAGTTTTAAAAACATTACATTAAACAAAGGTAAATGTTAAGGGTTTTTTTTTTTTTTTCCCCAGAGTCAATTTGTTGATGTATCTTGTATATTTCAAATAGTATGGTAGAATATTCAATGTTCTCAACTGTAGCCACATAAATTTTTTCTGGGAACCTCTTAAGAGATTAGTGTTCTACGGACCTAGCTCAGGGTGATGCAGATGTAGACACCACTTGAGTATATCATATCCCTTCTGAGAAACGCAAACACTTTTGAACAGGGCCAAGAGTGTAGTTTCTTGTCAGAGTTCCTCATAATTTCTTCTGTGACCTTCATTCCTGACCCTGGTGAGGTTGTTTACTGCTTTCAGCCTGGCTTTGTGAGAATAGATTTTGTCAGGTTCGGCTTTGAGAATCAGGGCACTGAAAATCATTATATAGCTTTTGAATAAATATCCACAATTATTATTTTACCACAGGAAACTGGCACATGGCAGGATTTTGTGTAACACCATGGAGGTAATTTGGGCTTCTTATGGAGTGGCCAGGTTTTAATGGGTAGAAGAATCCTGGATTTTTTCAAGAGAAATGTTATGCCCTTTTGGGTAGAATGTCACCCCAAAGCCAAAGTTATTCACACTAGGAAGCACACTCATTATTTTAGAAGTAGTTCCTGAGCTAATAGACACAGAATTCTCATGAAAACCTTTGCTTTTTCTCAACATGTGTTTCTTAATTACCTATGGAAACAAACTCCACATGTAACTGTCTTATTCACCACATTTGAATGTCTCTGAACAGACACCAACTAATTTTCTACCAATTTCCTCCTATCATTTTGCTAAATTAAAATGTTTTAAAGGTTAATTGTCAAATCTTTGGGAGGGAAAGAAAAAAGCTTTCTAAAGGCTAAGTTTCCAAACTAAGTAATATGTCCTTATCCCTGTTAAAAACACTTGTTTAAGGTGGTTTGGATTGACTTTGTTGGAGGTTGGGTCACTTAGAAACTAAAAGGGAAATAGCTGTAAAAGGGCAGAGCGAAATGAGATTTATCCTTGGAGCCAGTGAGACTTCTTACCTTACTTTGGGAAAGAAGGCAGAGAATGGAGCAGAGTGGGCATAGATATGGGGCAAGGGCTTTGCAATTAGGAGATTTTCAGAAGGAGTACCAACTTCATCACTTCCTACATGTGTGGCAACTGCTTGTGACTTATATTCTGAGCACCAACTTCTCTAATAAGGCGATGGTGATAGCTTCTTAATGAGACTGTTGTGAAGATAATAAAAATGCAACTTATTTGTTCCTATCCCTGGGTGAAGATTTGATTCTTGCCAGCATTCCAACCTTGAAGTAGAACTTGGATTTTTATATTTACTAGAAATAAATAACTCAAAAATATTAGTGAACAGTGTGTGTTTTCCTAAATATTTTGGAGGAAAACAAAAGGTGGGCATCCATGTGGCAAATGGTATAGCAATGTATTCCAAAATTCCCAGTTAGCTCTGTCCTGTTGAGTGGTTAGAGACTAGCAATTGTAGTAGCTCACCCACAGATTCCTTCTTCCTTTTGGCAGCAGAAGCCCCACATTTTAGCTGAGACCATTGCTGCCCAGCACATATGACATATCTTCACTTTCCTGTCATCCAGGTGCGGCCACATAACCAAGTGAGGCTCATGAGGCATAAACAAAAATGATGTGTGTAATTGGTCCTCTTTCAAAGTTAAAGCTTCTTGTCTTGGATGCCTTCTCATTTCCCATGGCTTGAAGAATACTGGCAATTGTAACAACTTATTAGAAACTAGAAGTCCCCAACTAGTAGCATTTAAAAATTAGCATTTAAATGTCCCTGAACAAGTCCCTGAGCTCTTAAATGCTAACAAAATAAACTTTCTCATTTAAGCCACTACATTTTAGGTTCTTGTTAAAACAGCTTAGTCCAGTCTCTAGACCCATTCTTGGTCTCAGGTCTCCCTTCTCTCTTTATCCTCCAGGGCCTTGCTTTCCAGGCTACAATCTCACCTTTGTTAGATTTAATATTACATCTTGCTCCTTTTCTCAGGCAGTCCCATTTAATTTT